TTTATTCTCTTTGTTTGTTTTCTGTTCATTCACTCTCATTTTTTTTTATATACATATATATATATATAGCTATTTTATTGCTTTTCGTTTTCATTCGTCGTCCTTGATGATGAACAACAAGGATTATTATTCTTTTTCTTTCCTTTCTTTTAGACCAAAAATATAATCAATTCATCGGTCATGTCCGGTAACAAGAAAACATCTGCAATGTTATTAGCCAATAAAAAACGAGATGAATTATTAAATAAAACATATACAGTTGAACGTCTACTTAAAAGACGTAAACGAAAAGTAAAATATTTTCAATTAAATAAATAAATAAATAAAAATTATATTTTATTTTTTTTTCTTCTAGGGTCGTATTGAATATTTAGTTAAATGGAAACATTATGATAGAAGTCATAATTCATGGGAACCAGAAGGAAATATTCTTGATAAATCACTTATTGAAAGTTATAAAAAACAAACTAAATCAACATCTCGACGTACTTTATCACCAAGAAAATCTTTACGAAATCAAAATGATGAATTATCTCCTGTAAAAAATGAATCTGAAAAACAATTAAACAAAGAACAAGATGATGATGATGATGATAATGACAATGAAGAGGAAGAACAAAAAGAAGAAGAAGGCAATAACAATAATAATAATAACAAAGAAGAAAAAATTCTAAATTCTAATTCAATTGATTATTGGTATCCACCTGTATATGAACAAAAAACTAAAATTACAATAACTGATATAACATCAGATAATGTTACAATTACATTTCGAGAAATAATTTGATAAATATTCGTTTTCTTTTTATTAGATATTTAATATAATGTCAGATATGTGCGTGTTTTTTATTTGTAAATTTTGAATTATATCGCATTGTTATTTTTTGTTTTGTAAATATATACATATATTTCGAATATATATGCAAAATACGTTTTTTACACCACAAAAAACAAAGATGAATAATACCAGAGGCGGATCTAGCTATTAGGCGCCCCTGAATGGTATCCGAAGGTAGAACCCTGGCTATACAAATATCGAGTATTCATATTCGTGACTATACAACAATATGTTTATATCATAAGTATGTTATATTACTGACAATTTTGTTGAGATTATAAAAGAATGATTAGGACGTGCTAAAAGAACATTATTATCTCTTACTCGTTCATGTCATCAAATTTTTAGATTCTATCTCATTATTCATTCTTCCTTGATTACGCAACTTCCTGTCAATTTGTAAAGAAGATGAGTTATCTCCACATACACAAAATGATTAAAGAAAAATGACATATCAAAAAAAAACATATGCAGACATGCTCAATAAAGTTGCTCCTATGATTATACCACTGATATGAAAATAACACCTAGATCATACTTTACAGTCAATTAACCCTCCGGCGGTGTTTGGGGGTCCAAGAGGCCCACAGTAGCGTTTTTTTCTACTTTAAGATCTATGAAATTCGTATTACGTATGCTCTCTATTGTTTCGAAGGTGTATCTATTGAAGATTGATTAGGTTGTTGCTGTCAGTAAGGAATAATGTGTTTCCCTATCCTTATTTATCTATCGAAATATTTTCACCATTCTCTTAACTTTTACTCACGATAATTGTAATCCTTCTTTTTTCTTGAAAAATCAGCGTCTTACGTATACTACAAGCGTATTAATGCATCAGTGAATGAAAAGAGATCATGATGTGGAGCTTGATCTATCTTATATAGTACAATACAGATGAATTTTCATGTTTTCCTTATGTCTTTACATGTGGGTCCATACATCGTTCGTGTGACTAAGCGAGAACACCTCCGGAGGGTTAAAACTTAAAATATCGAATTTCTTATTTATTAATAATTTACAAAATTAGTAAGTATATATAACACAATGACAACATCAATACTAAAAAAATACTACTTCTTATTTAAATTTACAAAAAAAATGTTTTTATTGTTGCATAAAACAAATCGGATTATTTTGTATGTTAAGTAATGATTGACGACGATTTGGTGTTGGATTTAATAGTGATAATTCTTGTGCTATTGCAGCTGCTGTATTTAATGAATCTTGTCGACTTGGATTACTTAGGCTATATTTATGTTGATTTGTACAATGATAATATTGTACAGTTCCAGTTAATCGTGTTTTTGGACGATATTGAACTGGTATTGATCCTGCGGGATAACCAAGTGAACATAAACGTTCATTATCTAATCTATTCATATAATTTCGAAAAAATTTT